AAACATATTTTTGTTATTGCCTATTTATAAATTATAATTGTTATTAAGTCTAACAAACTTAATATAGGTTATAACTTATAATATACGTATTATGTATAATTTTTACTTTTATTGATTATTTTTATTATTAATTATTTACTTTTAAATAATAAATCATATTGATATTTTATCTGCAATTATGAGGTACTTGAAGTACTCAAGTCATTTCTTTAATATTAATAATATAATTTTATAATTAAGTTTTTTAATTTTTAACAAAAAAATGTTTACCTACATGTCTTATAATAATTAAAATAAATAATTCATTTTCATTTCAAATTATTATCTTAATTTAACTTTCTTATTAAGATAATACCCAAGCACTACTATCTGTTATTAATTATGACATTGTTTTGGGCGTTAAAAAAAATGTTTTTTCCTGTAGAAACTTTTTTATTATTACACTTCAAAAATAAATTTATACTTTAGTGATGTAAAAATAGAGCGTGTGCGTATTATGTATGTACTTACTCTTTTTAATCAAATATAGTTCATTATTTGTATATATTATTGATTGTTTATATATTACCTATAACCTATATTACCTACACATTTAAGTTCACTACCTTATCATCTATATTTCTATGTATGTACATGCGGATTTAATTATATGATAAATAATTAACTTACCCTAATTTAAGTACAGATTTACGATATATTAGATAAACGAAGGAGGAAGAAATAGGTTTAATACTAATAATGTACTTATAATTTAATTTTAATCAAAAACACAATTAATATATAGGAAATATTTGAAAGAATACAAAATATTACACACTTAATTATGCATGACTACAGCCATAGTTCGGACAGATGGTTGAAGGGTATCTTAGAGTCGATAGAATAGTTTGTTTACATAAGGGCCTAACAAAACATAATCACAGATGTCTATATTAAAATATAAACATCTATGTGACTATATATTATATAATAAAGATTCTAATTGTAACACTTATAACCTTTTTAACCATTAATCATAAAAAGTCACTATCAATACAATAAGTTTTTTAAATTTTAAAATGTTTAAATTTGATAACAATATTTTAAATACTTTTAGTAGATAAAAAGGTAAAACTCAAACTAAAATTATAATTTTTCAAATATTATTTAAAATTTAATAATTACCTCAATGTCAATATCAATCTTTATTTTACACTTAAGGGCTGCATCCGAATTACATGCCACCTCTTAGAAGGGCACGTCCAAATGGCACGCATTTACCCAATGTATCCATAAATTTATCTTTGTTTATCGTGCACTTATGTACAAAACTTAAACTTTATTTTTTATTTTTCTAATTATTTAAAAAAAAATTATATTATACTATTTATTGTCAACAACTCCATCAAATTGTATAATATTATTATTTATTTGAAATGTTATGAAAAAATGTAAAATATAAATTTCACTTGATTACCTTTATTACAATCGTTTTATTTAATATTCTATGTCAAATTTTATAATTTAATAAAATATTTACTCGGATCTAAAAATATTTCAATGTTTAAATTAATCAGCTTCTATTCATGCGTTTTTTTTTTTTTACTATAGAAAAATCAAAAATAAAGTTTAACTTGTACACATAAGTGCATAATAAATAAAAATAAACTTGTGGGTACATGGGATGCAATTCGGACAGATTCTTCTACGAGTTGGCTGAATGTAATTTTGACATTTCCATTTATGTTTATTTTTTTGACATGCAGTTATTCAGATACACCAGAACTTAAGACACCAAAGCTGCGTAATTTTTTTTTTTTCGAATGTGTTCGGTTTTTTTTAAATTAAGTCTTTAAGTAATAAAATTTATATATAATAGTCAAAATTTCTTCTGGATATTTTTTAAAATTGTTATAAACTTCTTAAAAACGCATGTCGTATTTTTTCATCTTTGCTACAAAATATAAGATGAATTAAATTCAATTATTTCATTTTATATATTTATTGAATAGATTATCTATAATAATATGAGAATAGATTTTCATATTTTTCAGTTGATTAATGATTATTGATATGTGATTATTATTTAGTATATAAGTTTTTATTACTTTAATTTTAAAGCGTAGGTGTTTTAAACGCAAGCATTTACAATTTTAAAATACCATAACTTTTTAAAATTAAAATATAATAAAAAGCCTAGAGATTCCCAGATAATAATCAATTTAAATTTCAAAAGAGGTCAATTCATTCTAATTTTCAAGCTGAAGGAGCTAAACGATCTTCTGAGAGTACTATTTACCATGTTACGCATTTGTAAGACGGAGACAACATATGCGGGTACGACGTCCTCTTAAATGAATTGAAAAATAGTTAAAATGGCTGAACAATATTGTAAATTTATTATCATTATCAAACATAATTTTATTAATGAAAAATATTGACCAAAAGATTATATTAACTGTCAAAAATGAGTAAACTTTGGATTCATCAATATTAACTCAATGTGACAAATGTTTTGAAGTTATAGATTAATACTTCTTTCCGTAAACGCAATTTCAGTTTTTGACTTGGGGGAGGACTGTTCATATAAATCAAACAGACCCGCAGTGGGTTCCCCACAAGTATTACTTATACAATATGCAACATAATATACTTAGAATTTTTATCTAAGCTCCTTTCCTACTTAAACATTTTTCTCGCTTCTTTAATTGAACTGAAAAAGGTGACCATTGAATTGGCTCCCAATATTAGGTTAGGTACCTTGTCAAGATTTAAATTGGCTCCCAAAACAAGCAATATTGAATTGGCTCCCAAGACAAGCAATATTGAATTGGCTCCCAATATAATTTTTAAAAAGTGGTTTTCAAAATATAAAAGTTCAAAAAGTACTTTAAGTATGCTTAAATCTGTGTGCAAGAATTTTTACATATTCAAATCTGGATATTATACCTTTGTCATATTTATGAATTTGACTGTCTATAAATTGTATTTTTTCTTGTATATTTTTTTTGTGTGGTCTTTCTACATTGGAGCTTCTTATAATAATTTCAGTATATGCTTGAATACCATATAATACATCCATGAAATTGAAAATATTTGGGTGCGTAGAATAAAATTGGGAATTAAATTTTGAATGAAAAGATTCACATGAATTAGTGGTACGACTAACACTACTGCTTTTTTCTGCACAAATTAAAGGTGAAAATAAAGAATTATTGTCAATATAATTTTCAACTAAGTAGTCCATAAATTTTCTAACTTTTTCATTATTTGGTTGTATCTCAGCTAGTTCGAATGAAAAGAAATCGTCGACTGATTGCGGATCTAGAAATGGTAGACCAAATATATACGTCAAAAATTCACCAATTTCTGTTTTTTGTTCATACTCTGTTGAAAGGCCCAATTTCACTGTGTCGCTAAAAATATTACAGTCGCGTACTTTTTCAACTTTTATATTTTTAACGTATAGACGTACATATAGTTGAATTTATTTTCAAACAATTTTGATAACCAATGAATTTATAAAATAAATGTGTAGGGAGCCAACTCAATGCATAAATCTTGGGAGCCAATTAAATACGTAAAAATGATTACCTAAGTTAGGGAGCCAATTCAATAGCTCCGCTGAAAAATACTTATCCTTAACACACATTTAAGTTAATGAAATGATCTTGTTCCACACCACAGAAGTACGCAGCCAATTTTTGTATCCTGTGCATGGCTGAAAATGACCCTTCACATGATGCTGAATTTATTGGTATTGTGAGCGCTAATTGTACAAATTCAAATAAGTTTGAATTTGGATAAACTATACGATTTAAAACTTGTAGACCATTAATATTGATTTCAATTTCCTTATTTAATCTTAATATACAGTTTTTGCTACCTTCATTTTACATTTTATAGCATTAACATGACAACATTAATGTTCAATAACTATAGATACTAGAAATTGTATAGTAGTTTTAAAATACCTATTTAATTTAATACAATAGGAAAACGTATTTTATTTTTTTTATTTTTCTATCACGATTCATGACTCAAACCACGTTTATCCATACAGACTTTTATCACCATATAAAATAAGCTAATATCTATACTATAATATAGGTGTATAATTTATAATAATTAGGTCATAGTCCTTGCAAAAAATGATTAGATAACTGAGAAAATTTTGTTTTAAAGAAATATTCGAAATTCTACAAAAAAAACAAATTTTGTATTTTAATCGTTCATTGATTTCTTAATAGGTAGGTACCTATAGGTAAGTTTTGTCTGAATATTTTTTTTGAGGGGGGGAAACTAATCTCCCCTTCTAATTGCGCCTATGCTTCTTTTCACTTAAAATAATAATTTCTGAATCATTTGAACACATGACTTAATTCATGTTGTACAATTTTGACCAGTTCAATAATGAAATCAGTTTAAGAAACAAAAATTAAACAAAACTATTTTAATTTGTAACTTGTATATTTTATAATAAACTGTCTTTGAAACTTACCAACCGTTCAAAGTATTGTTACTTTATAATTATTTATTATTGTATTGAAACAATTGTTTTATTATTTGACTTTTTATTTATTTAGTGAATTTAAGGCAGGTAGTAGGTACCTGGACACCAAACATTTCAATTATTTTTAAATTGTAACAAATTCAAGACGCATTATATAAATAGGTACAGTCAACTCTCAATAATTCAAAGTAAATGTCCTACTAAATGCTTTTAAAAATTTCGCAGTATTAATTCAAATAAAAACAATGAATTAAACTACATTAGATAATTTGTAATAAAATTTAAGAGAAAACTTTAAGCTAGCAACCAAGACGTTTATAATTTATATACAATATACATATGTTTATGGATGACGGTTAACCAAAATTCGAGTAACCTCCTTGTTCGATAGTTCATTGATATTAAAGATTAAGCAAAGTTTAATATCAATGGATTGGCCACACTGATATAACAACATCGGCCCACCGCGGCTTCCACACGTAATCAAAAACATAACCTTTAAAAATAACAAATATTTTCTAATATTGTCTAAGTACTCTAAATCTATTTTAGTTAAACGAGATTTCTTACTCGTATTTCTTTGCCTTTGCGTTTTCCAGATTTATTTGTTTGGTCATCTAAACTTTTTTCAGTTGACTCTTGATAGCTCCTGTTATCTACCATGGCTAAGAAAAAAGATTCCGAGAAGCACGAAGACGGCCAAAGAGGAAAATACAACAAGGATGATGCCGACGCCAATGAATTGGAAAATTTCGTCGACGACATAACCGACGAAGGTAAGACAGAAAATTATCGGACTTTAGGTTTCTACTTATTTGTGTAACGCTGTCATTTTTAGAGTTACTCGGTGACGTTCTCCAGAAGAGACCTAAAGTATCTGATGGCGTAGACACCGTCATTATAGTTGATGGTGTTCCTCAAGTCAACCCCGAGCGCTTTGAAAAACTTAAAGTAGTTATAACCAAAATATTCGCTCAATTCGGTAAAATTCTGAACGATTACTATCCAAAATCAGAGAACGGTCACACTAAAGGGTAAGTACTTGTAATATTACATTGAGTATTAGTGTTCATTTTTTTTATAAAATCATTGTTTACTTTTATTAGTTACATATTCATTGAATATGAAAAACATGAAAGCGCATTAGAAGCTGTTACACAAGCTAATAACTACAAACTAGACAAACAGCACACTTTTTTAATAAACTTATTTTCTGACTACAAAAAGTGAGTTAAATTATTTGTTGTGTTTTGTATAATGATTAATATTATTATTACTATTTTTAAGATACAACGAGATTCCTGAAAAATGGGAACCTCCTACTATACAACCATTCCCAGAAAGGCCTAATCTACAATATTTCTTAAGTGAACCTGATGCATTTGATCAATATTATGTTTATAATATAAACAATCATATTGAAGTTTGGCTGAATAGCAATCCGCAGCCAATAAAATTAGTTGAACGTGAAGTAAGTACAAATTTTGGTACTTGTTTATTATCGGCCTGCCAGTGTATGCTATACAAAATTTATCGCTCTGCCACTCTTGTTTGTTATCATCCCACCATAAATAAAATAAACAATATAATAAATAAATAAATTATAATATATCATTAATAATATAAGAAATTCATAGGTAAGTATTTAAGTTTTATATATGTATATTTGATTATAATTATAATGGAGATTAGAATTCAGATATATCTTTTAAGATGGTTTCAAATATATCTTATTCCCCGAGACGTGTTCTCATAAATTCTGCCTAATACAATTCCAGAAAATTTTTTTTAGTTTCCCAATGCTTTTTATTTCCTTATTTAACAGAATCCCACAACCTCGATGTTTTGAGTTTGTGTCTCTGTGTTCGAATCAACAAAAATATAAGTATGGTTAACCATATTATGTTGAAATCCCGCTTACTGCAAGTTATTATAAGCTTTCCTAAAATCTGACAAAATTATTGAGCTTGGTCTTATATATTTTTTTTATTATAGGTAATTACTCCAATTGACCACAGCATTTTGTTCCATTTTTAACTAAATATGATGAATGTAGAAATAATAACGGTACACTATATGGCAGGGCGATAACAAATAAGTACCCAATTTTCTGATTATGATTACTTTGTTAATAATATTAATTTTTTATTCCAGAAATGGACTGAATCTCTAATTATGTGGTCACCTCTTGGAACATACTTAGCAACATTACATAAACAAGGTGTTGTGCTTTGGGGAGGACCAAACTTTACAAATGTTTTGAAGCTTTCACATCGCAACGTTCAATTTGTTGATTTTTCTCCTTGTGAACAGTAAGTTATTTGTGTGTATGCTTATTAATATTATATTTTTTATTATTTTTATCCTTAATTTTTTTTTTTTTAATTAGATATCTAGTGGCTTATGCTCCATTAGACAATGGTGAACAAAAGTTAACCATATTTGATATTCGTACTGGGGCCGAAAAGCGATCATTTATTTCAGATGCTCCAATGGCTGGTAATGTACTGAGGTGGTCAAAGGATGACAAATATTTTGCTCGAATTGGGCATAACACTTTAAGCGTTTATGAAACTCCAGTTAGTATTAGTAAAAATATTTAGCTTATAAATCTTATTAAATGTTATTTGTTTTTAGTCTTTTGGTTTGTTGGATAAAAAAAGTATAACAGTCAATGGTATTCGAGATTTTAGTTGGTCTCCTAGAGATAATGTACTTGCTTATTGGGTTGCTGAAGATAAAGATGTTCCGGCTCGAGTAGTTCTGTTAGAAATACCAAGGTTAGTAAAATTTATGATTAAAAACAATATGTATATAATCATCTTATAAAAAAAATTATCCAGACTTTCTTTATTATTGTATATTAATTTTAAAATATTGGTTTTTAGCCGTAAAGAAATTCGAGCAAACAATTTATTCAATGTAGCAGATTGTAAAATCCATTGGCAAAAAGCTGGTGATTACTTATGTGTTAAAGTTGACCGTTACGCTAAAATAAAACGTGAAAAGGGAGATGTAAAATACAGTGTAAGAATTTACTTAGTCTTTTATATTTATGACTTAAAAGTTTTAATATTGTTTTATACAATAAGCTTAATTTATTTTTATAGGGTATGTATTTTAATTTTGAAATATTTCATATGAGAGAGAAAAATATACCTGTTGATAGTGTTGAAATTAAAGAACCAATTCATGCATTTGCTTGGGAACCAATTGGTTCAAAATTTGCAATTATTCATGGTGAACCTAGCAATAATAGTGTAAGCTTTTATAATGTGAAATCTGGCCAAGCTCCAGTCTTATTAAGTAAGTTTAACATATTACATTATAAGATTTGTTTTAAACATAACAATGTGTTTAATTTTTAATTTTATAAAAAAAAAAAGAGTTTTAAATTCTCATAAGTAATGCTAAATTCGTTCCCCGGATAATCCAATTAAATTATTTTGAAATTGGATGTGTGAATAGGTAATAATATAAAATAATGAAGTATTATATAAAGTACCAATATCTTTTTGCTATAACTTTAATAAATACTAAAATGTCATTTTCTTTTTTTAAATTCATAACTATGCTTTTAAAAAAAGAATACTTAAAGAGGTAGTTAATTGAAAGGGCTAGTTTGGTCAATTAAATTATATTAACTGTCCATTTAAAATTGATGGCACTGATACACATGCATGCATGATTTATGTATTAATTAATATGCTAAATATATTATATCAATTTTACCATTATAAATTTAATAAAAAAATAAATAAATAAACTATTAGTTAATTTTTGATAAAAAAATTGTTAAATTTTTGTGTTGTCTTATAGAAAAATTGGACAAACATTTTTGCAGTCATTTATTTTGGTCACCTGCTGGACAATATATCGTTATTGCTGAAATCCGGGATTCTGGTGCTTTAGAATTTGTTGACACTGCAGACTTCACCACAATGTGTTCTACAGAACATTATAAAGCAACTGATATTGAATGGGATCCAACTGGAAGATACGTTGCTACAGGTGTTAGTGCATGGAAAACTAAGGTATAAATGTAATTTAAATATATTTTTTACTTACTGTTACATCAAATTTTTATTTAACTGTTAAGTATTTCTGTTTCTTAATTCCTCTAACATCTACAATACAATTTCATAAATTGTACCTGTGATTAATTTATATGAAGTCATTAACATCTGGATTTAAATAAGAAAATGCTTGTTCAAACTAGTTAAATATTTTTAAACATCAATTTTAGGTCTTAAATTCTTTAAATATACTTACTGTCTACAATTATCTCTCACAAATAATAACATAATACAATACTATATTATTATTAACTGTCTAATTACTTCAGTTAAGATGCTTTTAGAACAATTTATTCATAATGATTTTTGTAATATGTGACATTTTTAAATGTATTTATGATACAATATTATATTAATATTTTTTAGGGAGATACCGGTTATTGGATATGGTCATTCCAAGGAAGAATATTGAATAGATTCAATACAAACACCTATTGTCACATGCAATGGAGACCAAGACCCCCTACTCTTTTGAGTGCTAAACAACAAAGAGATACCAAAAAAAGTTTGAAAAAATACACATCTCAGTTTGAAACAAAGGACAAAATGCGAATGACTAAAGCATCTAAAGTAAGATTCACTTTCGGTTTTATGAAACAAATATATTTGATTTAAATTTTTTATAGGAAGTCATTGATAAACGTCGAAAATTGATCAAAGAATTTGAAGAATACCGCAGCAAACGTTTAGATGATTGGAATAAACAAAAGGCTGAAAGAATGGCTATTAGAAGTCGTAAGTGAATTTTTTTTATTAAATTCCATAAAAACCGTGGCATAAACATATTGGAACAATTTCAATGTTAAGTTAATGGCATTTTTATCATTTTATCAATATTTTTCTTAACATTTTGATATATCATTCATATGTTATTCTTTCCAACTGTTTTGTTTCAGATATTGATACTGATGAACTAGATTCAGATGATAAGAATGTACAAGTAGAAAAAGTTGAATTTTTGGTTAAAGAAGAAGTAACTGTAATTGATTAAGCATTGAATGATTTTTAATGTAAATGAAATATTTAAACCGTCTTTTTTTTGTATTTATGTAATAACAATAAATACAATTTTGTCTTGATACAATAACACCATTAAATATGGTCAACATAGTCCTTCATATTCTTTTAAATATTTTCAATTTAAATTTCAAATACAGAAGAAAAATATAAAATACATATTCAATAGGATTTGTTCTAATAATTATAATACTTGTAATCACAAATACAATTTTACATGTTAATTGTTTTATTTATTTCATAAGTACATGTTCAAACATTTTTTTATAATACTACTTGCATGTATTATATAATTATTACAAATATAATGTATATTACTTATTTATAAATAAATATCACAATTGCCAACTAAGTATAATTATTACACAGTGATCACATTTGTTAATATTAATTATTGATTTATGACAAAAATAATTATTACCGAGCAAGATAAATGGAAAATAAAAATTATTATATCAGAGTACATAGTGTAATTGTTATAATATCAAATTAGCAAAAAACTTATTAATTATGATTTCCTAACTGAGATATAAATTATTTTTGAAACAATTGACTTATTTTAATGTGATTAATACACCATTGGTTGGCTAAAAGAAAGAAAAAAATATATGAGAGTAACAAATAACAATATTTTTTATTAACTATATTAGTTTGAAATAGGAAATTGTAGTGTACTAGAAAAAAAAGCATCACTTGTAAAGAAATGTATGTAAAATTAAAAAGTACTAACAGTATATTACTCAAACAGCATAATATAGAACATACCCTCATAAGCAACCTAAGAACTATTATTAATTTATAAAATGTATTACATACATTGGTAGTTTGTGTTCTACATAATATAATAATAACAAACTGGAAAATACTTCAAAGAAATAGATCAAATACTCAAAGATTTTAGTATTAATTAACAATATTACCTCCTAGTTAATTTACATCAATGATTTTAATGTCTAAGATGACATAGTTAAAAACATTAATAAAGGAAGACTAGCTGTTAACTATATTAGTATTATTTTTAAATTAATATTTAGTACAATCCAAAGCAAAAATTGCTTGGGATAATTTTTTACAGAAATATTGATTGATACACATCTTAATAAATTCAGTATACATGGAGAAATAATATGGTTGCCCTAACAACGATATTTCAAGATAAATTGAGTAAATATACATAGAAGCATGCTATTGGCAAATTTGATGTAGATATAAGTTATATAAAAAGGATGTGAAGATTTAATTTTTGCACAATACAGGTTTTTCTAAAGCTAACAGTTTAGTATTAAACTAATAAATAATAGTATACTATTAATAACTAATACATATTTGAATATTTAATTAACTTTTAATATTCTTTTTTTGTAATTCATTTCAAAAAGTTATTGTTAGTGATTTCCTCGGTTCGTGTTAATTTTGATTTTTAAGAAAGTAATTTAAATTAAACTAGACTATTTAATTAATTTGAATGTATTATATAGAATATTAATTTTCCTTTAAATGTATTATAATTATCAACTCTTAAACATCAAACATAATAAAGAAAATTATTCAATTTTATATAAATAAATAAATATTAAGTACTTTCTTGAATTATGAATATTTAGTCTTATATTAGAATTTTTCAGATCATTAATCACAGAAAATAATTATGATAACTTGTTCTAAAAAAGTATTGGAAAAACAGCAACAAAATTTGAACATATTTTTTTAATTTATTAGACTTACAAATCTAGTAATTGTTTATAATACTGTTTTCAAAAATTAATTTAATATAATAATCACTTAGATATTTATTGGTATACATTTATTTTAATGATTTTTTCTACTATATTTGAGTATTAATACTGTTTTCCAAAATACATTAAAAAATAATATACACAGTATTGTGCTATAATACTTATCAAGCTAAATTATTTTATTAATGTCAAGATAAATAGAAAATTGTTTTAAATTATCTATAACAGTGAAATAACAATTTAACTAAAATTTTTAAGGTTTCTAAATCCTAATTATAAATAGCCAGTCGTATTATCTTTAAATACACATTTAAAATCAGACCTTTTATAAACTAATAATAAATTTTTCTCTTGAATGAGATAACAAATTATGAAATTACTTTATAAAACAAAAATAATTCTGGATAAAATGTTGATAATTTTCTTATGTATACATTTCTTTAATATATTTATGTAATAAGTATGTCATTGAGTAACATTCATACAGGCAATATTAAGAACAAATCTATTGAACGTAAAAAGTAATTATTTACAAATGACTGGGGATCATATTTTTATTTTTTGCAGGTATTATTAATTTAGTTCTAATTAAAAAAAAAAAAAAAACCCGATTGTAATTTATACCAATGTTTAATTGGCTGATTGAGTATAATTATGCTATATTATTTTCAAGAGAGATGTTATATCCAGAATAGAAAATTAATTTTCTGAAATAATTTTCTCATTGATAATGTAATAATTTCTATCATATACCTCCATAATTAAGACATATTTGCAAGATCATTTAACAGAATAATTAAGAACAATAATATTATCACTTTTAGTTGATTCCTTGGACATGCTAACTATAGCTTCTTCATATGATGGTGGTGGTAGGTTACTACTCTCTTCACTGTGACTGCCAATCAACTGTTCATAAGATGGAGGCAAGGTAAGTTCACTCACAGTGCGTATTGGTAATGAATACTGTTGTTGAGTGTCTGTCAACTGCCCCTGTTGAGATCGTATGTCCTGAAACACATAAAAATAAAATAAAACCGACAAACAATAAAAAATAACTGTAGTTCCTACCTCTATCTGTTGGCGGATGACCATGTCAATGATGCGGCGCCTACGTAAGTACAGTACATTTCTAATGCCGATCATAACGGCTGAACAGATGCAGAGTGGTCCAACCATCCACATGTGACCAAAGTTGGCGAAGACAGTGTCATCAAATGCTCCAAATGAAAACACTGATATAATAGAGCCCAATGTGAATAGGAACACAGATATCAAAAAATACGAATAAGTAACACAGTCGCAGGAGCTGCACGACCGACTCATGTCCTCGGTTAAATGGACACGCTCCCACATATAGTAGGCTTCCATTTCAAATGCATTTCCACACTTCTGATGTGCGTGAAAAGAACAAATGATGAACAGATGCAAACTGTGAAGACTGAAGACCACGAATTATTCTGATCGATCAGCTAACGTCACAATCGCGAAAGATCATGATTTATGCTTACGTTTTCTTCTATCATCGTTACTCGTTTACGTATTCAGTAGTGTCTATTTAAATCGTATTTCAAGTATTACTGATACTGAATATTAATTGTTGACTGTTCAATTTTTGGTCAACTTTATGATTAAAGCACAGAAGTACAGAACAACAACAGAACATTAAATTGATTACACGCCTTCATCTGTTATCAATTTAAATTGTTATTGTCTTTTATCATCTTACATGACGATGAAACGGATCCATACCAACGAAATGAAAATTCAATAATTCGATTCATTGCGTACATTGTACATACCATAGAGTAATATAAACATACTACCCCGAGTGCAAACTTTGAAGAGTAAAATATATGTATGGTCGCTAGGAGCGCTAAACGTCATCTACCCATACTTTGGCACGCAACCCCTTGTCCACAATTATAATGTTTAATATTTATTTTATTCATTTATTTTATTACGCAAAAGGCTAAAGGCACGACTGCAAAAGTATCAATTGTCAATTACTTAATACACAATTATACAAAAATACATATAAACAATTTTTCGTTTAAATTTTACTAATTTTAAAGTTTAGTGTTCACAGTTCATGCAATACACCGTTTGTCTGTGTAGGAGTGCAAGTTAGTATACTTTTCGGATGATTATTCAATGACCGTCATTAATCAGTAATCAGAACATATTACATACTAGTAATATGTAAACTACTTAATAACAAATAATATATATTAACAGTAATAATAATTGTAAAATTCAAAAAAAATTTTCTGGATCTAAAGTTTTCTAGTACCTACAAGTATTTGAATTGTCAAATTATCCAGCGTTTTCAAACATTGAACGCTTCCCCATGGATAAAAAGGAATCTGTTGAAATTCTTAAAAACTCATCGCTTCTGGTCAACACCAAAATTCAGAGTGTCATACCAAAAAACAGGTAGATAATTAGTAGACACTATAAATGATACACATAGCCTTTCAACTTTATTTAAAATAAACTATACATATAGTGCATATATATCACAAGTTGTGTTTGATCATAAATATTTTTTTTCTCAGGTCAGAAGTCTTGAAATGGAATGGCTGGGGATATAGAGACTCAAAGTTTAAAGTTACTGACCGGGGAATGATTCGTTTCACTGGCAATAGGTAAATATTATTTTAATTAATTAATGATTTTTTTCAAGTTGTTAAATGTCTTTCACTTTTCAACTAATTACAATACAAAACAATTGTAAAATTAATGAATTTTGTCCTATTAGATATTCTATTGGAGAAACAGATTTGCCTTTTTTTACTCAATGGGTCCAACAAGTATTAAATATTGACCTAACTCTTAGGAATGTGCCTAGAGAGAAGTTCAGTTCCAGAGAGATTCCACTTTCTCGTGTATCTACTAGTTAGTATTGGTTATTTAATGGAATGATTTTTGATTATAATTTATCGCAATATAAAGTTAAATCGTTTTTCAGATTTTTTAAAAATCTTGAAAGAAATGAAAATTGACTATACAACAGATGACCAAGCTAGACTCTTAAGATCCCATGGACAAACGCTTTATGATATTTATACTCTCAGATATGGTAAATGTTTTCCACGCATTTGTGATTTAGTAGTCTGGCCTGGTATGTATTATTTAATTTGAATTATTTTTTAATAATTTTTTTGTTACAAAAAGATTTTTTTCTATTTTAGCTAATCACAATGATGTGATAAGTATAGTTGAGTTAGTAAATGTGCATAATATTGTCCTTGTTCCGTTTGGTGGCGGAACTAATGTATCTGGAGCAGTATCATGTCCTGTTAATGAAAATAGATGTATAGTCAGTGTAGACACTTCACAAATGGTAATTGTACTGGTGTTTAGTATAATATTGCAGTACCAATAAAACTAAAATGGTATTTGATACATTTTTTTTTCAGAATCGTTTATTGTGGTTGGATGAATCAAACTTACTGGTGTGCTTTGAAGCCGGAGTCATTGGCCAAGATTTAGAACGTGAACTAAACAAACGAGGCTATACATGTGGACATGAACCTGACTCTTATGAGTTTTCTAGGTATTCATTGAAATAAAAAAAAAAAAAAAAAAAAACTCGAGTGTAGCCTTTGTAGCAATCATTAAAGTAGTAAGTTTCCTTTTATTGTATTTACTATTTATTAAATATTACAGTTGTTTGTTTATTTAGTTATGATTTGTGTGCAGTGTTTAAAAATTAATACATTTTATTTTTGTTATTTTTATTTTATTTTTAGTATTAAAATTTGCATATGTTTATTTTAGCTGTATTTTTTATATTATTATTTCACTAAAAGAAACTTATAATCAGTAATGTGTATTGTATTATATCAAACTCAGTTTAGGTGGTTGGGTCGCAACTAGAGCATCGGGCATGAAAAAAAATGTGTATGGCAACATTGAAGATTTAGTTATTGATGCTAAAATGGTTACTTGCAAAGGGGTAGTAGAAAAAAACAGTAAAGTCCCAAGAATGTCAAGTGGACCTGAATTTCAACAAATTGTTTTAGGTTCAGAAGGTTTGTTTATTGACAGTTTTTAATCTAAAATATTTTAAATTGATAATTATTTTTATATTACAGGTACATTAGGTATAATTACTGAAGTTACCTTAAAAATTCGACCTCTTCCTGATTGTCGAGTTTACGATTCGGTGGTTTTTCCTGACTTTGAATCAGGTGTAAAATGTATGAGGGAAGTAGCCAAACAAGTATGTTTTGAATATTATCTTCACATTTAAATAATTATGTAAAATAATTATAATTAAATCTATAGAGATGTCAACCTGTATCCATACGATTAATGGATAACACGCAGTTCAGATTTGGCCAGGCATTACGTTCTGTTGAAAATACATTTGGAAACTTGTTAGACACTTTTAAGAAAACTTACTTGACTCATGTTTGTGGTTTTCATTTAGAGTCTATATGTGTTATGACACTTCTTTTTGAAGGTGATTTTTTAATCTATCTTTTGATAATTTTATCTTTTATACTTTTAGTGCTATTCAATTATATTTTACTTTTTTAATAACACAAATGCAAATAATAATCATTTGATTAGATAAAAAAAATAATATTTTGTATTTTAAATTCAAACGTTTGAGAACAATTTTTCAAGTAACATCAATTGTAATTTTTTGTATTGTTCTATAATAGGGTTGCCATACGTCCCAGTACACCGGGACATATCACCAGTTCATGACTTTGGTCCCGGTCGTCCCACTAGACCCTACAAAAGTCCCGGTTATGTGTAAATAATATTAGTACCAATAATTATATTAAATTATATTTTTATAAAAATTATATTTGTATTCTAAAACCATGAATTTCACTTCAGACACTCCTATCTTATTTTCGCTGATAATAATTGAACTGTGCTATTATGGCATAATAAAATAATTTTCAGAACGCGCCGAAGCTAACTTTTTGGGAATCAAAACTAAAATTGAATATAATAAAATAAAAGACGATGCTCAGCTTTTTGTTTCGATAAAATTATTCGACGAAGAAGTCGATAATTGTTAAAAAATGGCACGGGAGTATTTACAACAGTGGGGTAACCCTCTTATAAAATTTGAGGTCTTTTCATGGATGGATCTTACTTCTTCGCTGCAATGGCAAGAAGTTGAAAAGACAATAACTTATTTAAAAGAAAAGGGAATTGATATCACGGATAGTTGCTTTGAAGAAATATTGTGTCTTAAAAACTTCATTGACAAACAGAAATTTGATGAAGATTGGAATAAAAAAAATATGCATGACAAATGGTTACATTTCTTTAAAAAAACTGAAGTATTGGAAAGAAAACGTAATTTAATTTTGATGTGCTAATACTTATATAAAGTCAGAAAAATAAAATATTTCAAAATAAATAAATAAATAATATTTCATTAATCAAATGTATCTTCTAATTTAATGTCTTTCATTATTCAATACTATTATTATTTTATTCTATATATATATTACACTGTGTTCTAAATTTTAATATAAAAAAAAAAAAAAAGGTTGTTTAAATTATTTTTGTAAATGTCCCGGTCAGTACTTCAACTTTTATGGCAACCCTATTCTATAAGCACTTTAAACTATAGATAGTATTAGTATTGTAAATGTTACATTAAACTTATGACTAAAAATTTTGTAGTACACATGTAATAATAATTTTAATGTTAAAGGAAACCCAAACTTAAATTGTGACAATATGAAATTAATTTAAAACAATAAAGAAAACTATACCAGATTTTGATTACTTTAAATACTTTTTTTTGCCACAAAAAGCTTTAACAGATTATAAGGAACAAAGATACAATGAGATATATATTTATAACTAATAAATGGCAACATTTCTTTTGAAAAAATATAATGTATAAAATAAAGTATAATAAGTGATAACTATTAACTTAAATAATTGGTGAATCATTAATATTTTTTTACCATAACTAAATTTTTAAACTATTTAACAATAAATCTTATTTTTTAATGATAATTGTGTTGAATTTTTGTTATTTACTCAAATTAAAAATAATCTACCACTACTCACAAAGTTATCACCAAGTGTGAACGTGTTAAGCTAATAAATTATTATAACTAATTGGTGATCAGTAACAAATCAATAAAGCAAACGTTGCATGAAAATTAATTTGTTAAAATGTTTGCAATTGTGTTCAAAAAAATAATGCGATGAGGACAATTTGTAATCATGTTTTACCCATTTACAAATAACTACTAATAGTAATTTTTTTTAGGTAAAAAATCTAAAGTAGTTTCGCACAGAAATTGCATCGCTAAAATAGCTATGTCTTTTGGTGGTATAACAGCAGGAGAGAGAAATGGAGAACGTGGTTATATGTTGACCTTTGTTATAGCTTATATACGTGTAAGAAAAATTTACTTTTGATTTTTTTATTATGTCAATAAGTTATAATAAATATGATATTTAGGATCTTGCATTAGAATACAGAGTTGTAGCTGAATCATTTGAAACATCAGTATCCTGGGATAAAACTCTTAGTTTATGCGATAATGTCAAAAAAACTGTAGCAAATGAGTGCAAAAGTAAGTGAATAAGTGAATAATGTTATTATTTTCTTTAATACTGATTTCCCATGTGAAATATAAAATTTTTTTTGTCTTTTAGAACTTAATATCAAGTATTATTTAATAAGCTGTCGAGTAACACAG